TCCGGTGACCGACAGCTTCCTATGGGCAACTCCCCCAACCCTACTTTTTATCGCTGACAATTAGCTTACTCACAAATCTTTGATATCTTATATTATCAATCAAATTACTTTCTTCACTTCTTTTCTACTTTTTATTGTAATTCATAAGAGTGTGAGTAGGTTTTCACCTAAGCATGTTAGTTTCGCTTAAGAAGTTTAAAATTTACTTTCTTTGGGATAATGAAAATTTCTTCTTTAGATCGAGCCACCTCCATTTTCAAAATATCGGAGAGTCCCATGGTCTTTGATGTGAAATTATGTTTCAAGTATCATTTTTAGTCCTAATAATTTCCTCTGAATCATCACCTGTCAAGATAATATTATTTACTAATACTATGTGAATAGAAATTGTGTTTATGATTGGATTTAACAAACAATGTATGATCTATATGTCACTAATAATATCCGTTTGTAATATCAGTTATAGCTAACCTATCAAACCAGGTATAAGAAGATTGTTTCAAGTCATACAAGGTGTTGTGGCAAGTTCATGCTAGGGTGAGTAGGGGGTCGGCCGACCCTAGCTTGGGTTAGGGCTACTGCCTAAGGGGAGGGCTATCTTTCCTCCTATTTATCTACTACTACTATATATATATATATATATATATCCTGCTGTATCTTGTTTTTGGGTGGTGATTACCTACAAAATTCCTTTGCCTATCCTTCCCTGCTTTCTGCCTCCTGCTCCAAATCTCCCAGCTTGGTGCTGCAAACTCTCTCACACCTTTTTCTTGTTGTTGGCAAACCCCTTCTAGCCTTTCTGCAGGTTATTGCAGGCCTTTCCACCTTTCTGCTTACCACCACATAACCTAGCCACTCCATCCGCTTTCATGTTTGTTGTTGCCGCTCCTCACCTGCCATCCTAGTGCTGCAACAACCTCCTCCGCCCTTTACTGTTGGCTGCTGCACCCCCAACCGACCTTGTTGCGGTCTAGCCGCTACCCACCACTAATTCGTCCTCACCCTATGGTTTGTTTGTGTTTGTGTTTGTTGTCTTTTTTTCCTATTTCAAGAGTAGTTTTTGTAACCTTTCTGATTTTTTTAGCAATACTATTGCGTTTCTGTTGTGATATGGATTAACTCTTGTATCAATAGGTATCAAAGTCAAGTTAATCCCAGTTTTATCCTATAATTTCCTAGCATCTGACATACCCAAACCAACACCGCTCCAAATTTTTCTTTCATAAGCCCCCATATCATAACCATGCCACCAAGGAGATATATTTCAGAATCTACCCAAAAAAAGATACATTAAGAGATCTGTCGACTTCAGTAGAAACTTGCAGAGATTGATGACGGGAATAAAAAAGAGATTACCCTTGACTGTGATATGGAGAGTCGAAGGGGAGAAAGGGATAAGAAACTGAATCTCTTCCATAGAGAAGACTTCGGTGATGGGGAAGACAAACTCTAACGCTTTGAAATTTACTATCAAAGGAGGTCGCATCATATGGAAGGCGCAGGGATTTCAGAGTCAAAGTGAACCTACCGTAGTTTAATCAAGGTCTGGATCCAGACGATTTCATCGATTAACTACAATTAGTTGAGAGAATCTTCGAGTACAAGAAAGTGTCAGAGGATAAAAGACTTAAGCTAGCAACCATGAAATTAAGGAGCGTTTTCTTGTGGTGGGAAAATTTGCAAAGACAGAGAAAGAGAGGAAAGTAACAAAATTACCAAATGGAAGAAGATAGGAAAGGAGATGCAGGGAAAATACTCATCACCTCATTATCGTCAGAATATATTTTTGAGACTCCATCACATACAATAGTGAGACTTATCAGTGGAGGAGTTCACAACATAGTTTGACCGGTTGCAAATGAATTGTGAGTTGGTCAAATCAAAGGAATATACTATAGCCCATTATTTGATGGTGTTGAAGCCCGCTATCAACAACGTTGTATATATATTGCCCCATTGATCATTGATAGATGCCCAGACCTTAGCTTTGAAGGTGGAAATATAGCATAAATGTAGCAGACAGTAGCCTTTCTTCAAATAACTGCCTACAACTGCGTGGAAAGAAATCTGAAAATGATAGCTGGCCTAATACAGTGCCTGTTAGAAGATGTTTTAGATGTCAATGCTATGGACACAACCTTTAGCTGTCCCACGAGCCAAGTTCTTTCATTCAAGGAGCAATGCATCGTTGGGGAAGTGGAAAAGGGGAAGTGGAGGAAGAGAAAGTAGAGGACCCAGAGGAGGAAGTTTAGCTCCGGGGAGATGAGGGAGAGTGACTTTAGGGAGTGATTTTTTGCTTTCTGGTTTAGATGAGAGTCATCCCTTTTTTGTTTTTGATAATGGGGATAAACCTTTTCATGTTCATGCTACTTAACATCTTTCGTAATCATTTGTCTTGTTTTGTTTCATGTAATGTGCACACCTTCGAGGGAGATGAGAGAGAGATGCTAGTCATAAGAAGAGTCTTACAGATGGAGCCGGAGAAGGATTTTTCATGGCTGAGGCACAATATTTTTCGCACCGTGTAAGGTGAAGGGAAAATTCTACAGTGTGATTATCTACGGTGGGAGCTACGAGTGTAGCATCCACTCTGATGATGATGAAACTGACATTGACCACACAGAAGCACCCTCGGTCCTACTCTCTTACCTGGTTGAAAAGGGGTTACGAGATACATGTGGATCAGTAGTGTTTGGTTGAGTTTTCCATCAGAGATTAATTACAGTAGCAAATGTGTTGTGAGGGGTCTCTATGGATAAGAGACGCATTGTGCTTTTACTCTGTCAACAACGCGAGAGTAGTAGACATCAAAGAAGATACGATAGTTCTGAGAGCCATGTTCATGTAGTAGGTTTTGGAGGCTCTAGTGGCAATGACATTGATCCTACTAGAGGGACTGAGAAGGAGGTTGAGATATCGACGCCTATATAGCTGCTACTAAGGGACTTTCAAGACGTGAAACTGAGATACTTCTATAGGGATTGCTGCAATTGAGGGACATT